AACAAAATAATTAGTTCTGATTCTGAGTGCCAAGCACGAATAACTACGCTCCGATTGGTTGGTTCACTAGAGCCGGTCATTTTTGGGAATAAAAAACCGACTTAAAAAAGGAAGGTTCTCAATTTGACCTGTATGTATGTATGTGTTTATGCGTAATTATCTCGCAATTAGCTGAACCGATTTTGGTGCGGTTTTTAGAAAAGTATTTATTACACTTAGGAGAAGGTTTTTGTATACTAAATACGGCTAAGTCGGCTTTAAAAAAAAAAGAAATGTTGAAGTCGGTTTTTTAAACGTAGTTTACAAAAGAATTATTTTTGAGATTTGTTCTTCACAGGTGTTTAAAATCGAGAAATCCCTACACAAGAAGAATACAATGTTTGACGGTATCGAGTGTATCTTACTCAGCAGTTGAACTTATGACGTGGTCCTATGAGGTAGTCAACTAATAACTAATGTTTGTTAACAAATACATATTACGTTTTGCACATGTTGACAAAAATATGTATTCGTATTTACTTTTAAATTCTTAGCGACGGAGTAAAAGAGGACCTTGTGTACTATAAGTGCAGAGTTACCTAATTGAACTATTGTTATATAATAATAATAATATAATAATATAAGCCTTTAATCAGACAAAGTATTTACATTAAAATAGTTTGTAATTGTGACTCTGGTGAGTCGTTGACACCAACAAGTTCGTCTGTTTGCCCAGCTTTGGCAAAGGCCTCCTCCATCTCTTTCCACTCTGCTCGGTTTAGCGCTGTTCTAGTCCATGTTTTTCCTGCTATTGTTCTTATATCGTCTTCCCATCTTTTGAACTGTCTGCCTCGTTTTCTTTTTCTATTTCTAGGGTACCAAAACACTATGCTTTTGTTCCATTTTTCGGAGCCTCTTATCGTATGACCTGTCCATTGCCACTTAAGTTTACGAATTCTGGTCGTTATGTTTTCTATTTTAGTGCGATTTCTGATAGTTTGATTGCGTATTTTGTCAGATTTTCGTATATTCAGCATGCTTCGTTCCATTGCTGACTGGCAAGTTTCTAATTTTTTGTTTTGAGCTTTGGTGAGAGCCCAGGTTTGGCACCCATATGTTAGAACTGGTAGGACGCAGGTGTTGTAGAGCTTCGATTTAACAGATATCTTAATTTCTTTGTTTTTCATAATTTCTTTTAGTCTCCAGTAACAATTCCATGCTTTTCCTATTCTTGTGTCTATTTCCTTCGTCATTATTTTGATGTTTGAAATTTGTTGGCCTAGATAGGTGTATTCTGTCACATACTCGATCAGTTCTCCATTTATGATAATCGGGTCCTCCAATGCATTCGTTAGTGCTTTGGTTTTGGATGTATTCATTGTCAGACCTACCACGCTGCTTTCTTTTTCCAGATCTATGAGCATTTTTTGCATTTGGTCTTTTGTATCAGCGAATAACACGATGTCATCAGCAAAACGTAAGTGGGACAGTTTTTCTCCGTTTATGTTTATGCCGTACTGATCCCAATTAAGTTTTCGAAAAATGCCCTCTAAAACAGCTGTAAACAATTTTGGCGATAACGGATCTCCTTGTCTTACTCCTCTATTTATTTTTATTTCTTTTCCTTCTTTTTCCAATTTTATTTTCGCTGTGCTGTTTGCGTATATGTTTTTTATGATTCTGATGTACTTTTGTTCGACTCCTTGGTTCTTGAGGCAAGTCCAGATGTACTCGTGTTCGATTGAATCAAATGCCTTGTTGTAGTCGATGAAACAACAATAGAACGGTACTTTGAATTCCTTGTTCTTCTCGAATATTTGTCTCACAGCATGTATATGGTCCAGTGTTGAATAGCCTGCCCTAAACCCAGCTTGTTCTCGAGGTTGGTTCTCGTCTAAAGTTTTTGTTATACGACCTAAAATTACTTTTGAAAAAATTTTATAAATATTAGACATTAGACTAATGGGTCTGTAGTTATTTATTTCTGACTTCTCCCCTTTTTTATGAAGGAGAATAATTGTTGATGTAGTCCACTGCGTCGGTATTGTTTCTGTGTCTATAATATCGTTGAAAACACATTTTAGTAACGGTGCAATCCAATTTCTACAGCCTAAAAGCAGTTCGTTCGTGATACCATCGGGACCCGGGGCTTTGTCGTTCTTCTGTGTAATGATTGCTTTGTGTATTTCTTCTACTAGTATGGGTGGTACATTGTCGTAGTTGTTTAAGTCTGTATTGATTATTTGGCTCTTGCTGGAGTATAGGTTTTTGTAGAAATTTGTGGCTATTGATAGGATTTCTGTTCTTTTGGTTTTTGTTTTACAGTGTTGGTCTTTCATGTTAGGTATCCAGTTGGTTTTACCTGTTAGGACTTTAAGAGCCTTCTTTATACCGCCAGTCCTTTTAATATGTTTTTCCAGAGTGTTGAGTCTCGAATGTTCTCTATCTTTTCTCATTTGTAGCTTTATTTCTTTGCTCAGTTTGCCAATTTGTTCTCTAATAGTTTTTGTTTTGCTTGTTGTGCTAATTAGTTTTGATCTCTTTTGTAGGAGATCGTGGGTTTTTTCAGATATTTGGCTTTTATTCTTTGATTCGCTTTGGTTGGTATTAGGTTTTACTGTTAACATTTCGTTTATTATGTTGTATTTCTCTTGAGTGTTTAAATGCTCAAGACATGATTGTGACATCGAGCGGAGATTCTCTTGTATGGTGACTATTGCTGCATTGTTGCCTAGTATTGTGGTTTTCGCTTTGAAGGGTCGACTTGATTTTTGGACAGATGATGTGTTCAGGCGTGCTCTAAGCATTCTGTGGTTACTATTAAAGTTTAGGTTTGCGATAGTGGCGCAGTCATCAAATGACTTTGGTCTGTTTGTTAGCACGTAGTCAATTTCATTTTTGTATCTGCCATCTGGTGATA